ACTCCCAAATTCAAGCTGACAGGCTGGTCAGGGGTGTGCCAGCATCCTAATTGCTGGGCATGACCACTAGTTTGTCATGGCTTTCCCTAATTCCCCCTCTATTGCACTTACACTTATTCTTAGACTCTAAGTTCTGCCCCCCTCCTATGAGCCTTGCCTTGGGGACCTTGAGTTCTCTCTGAACTTGGACATTTGAGGGCTGGCCCTTCCACACTGCACTACAATCTGATCCTGCAAATGTAGTTGGGTGTGAGCACTGCCTGGAGTTCATGAAGCTCCTTGGAACTTTGACACAACCAAAGGATGAGAAAGGCTTTGGAAATCTGATCTTTGGAAGTTGGTTTATCTCATGTTTCAGACTAGGAGTCTGAATTAGGCTCTCCTTGGTTGGAACTTTAATTTCTGATGTAATTTTTTCTTTTATTTTTATTTTTCTTGGTTCACTCGGGTTGTAATAATTTGTAATAACTATTGGGGGTGTATAGTAAAAAGGGGAGGGTCGCTCATGTTATGTATGTGGGTAGACATCATGCTTTAGGTATTTATTTCTGCAATCACAGCCTGTTTTTTCGCTTATGCATCCACATATAGAAATCCTGCCTATAAGTTTATGCATCTACATATAGAAATCCTGCCTATAAGTTTATGCATCTACATATAGAAATCTTGCCTATAAGTTGTTTCATTACTGCATTAGAAATCCTGCCTATAAGTTGTTTCATTACTGCGTTAGAAATCCTGTCTATAAGTTATGCATTTCATTAGAAATCATGTCTATAAGTTATGCATTTCATTAGAAATCATGTCTATAAGTCTCTGCACTTCTGCATATAGAAATCAAGATTGTAAGTTTCCTGCACTTCTGCACATACACATGTCACTAGGCAAACAATCCATAGGTTAAAAAATAATCAATTGCATCTTAGATACCATGCTCATAGGATTCCTGCGCGTACATAACCGTTTTAGAATCAATAACGCTTAGAATTCATGCCTATAGGAGCAATCGTTTAAATCTGATTCACCCGCAAAGTCTAAAATCAGTAATAATGTTGTTAACATCCGCAGAATTGGTTTATTTCTAAAGTCAGTAATCTTCTTTAAAATCAGTATGTTTGACCTTGTTAGATATCATGCCTATAGGTTTCACCTAGGCAAACCATTAGGTAATCAATTAATTACACCAGTCTTTAATAATTACAACCAGCAGGCAGGCCTAATTCGGACTTCTTATCTGAAAATATGTGATAAATCAGCCACCCCCTTCACGTAAGTTTAATTCAGACCACAACCAGTATTTGAAGTCATGCTATACAATCTGCTCTTTTAAGTGAGGAGGCATGTTTGAGCCTTAATTGTTATTTGCTCTTCCCCTAACTGCTTATGTGTTCTTGCTTGTCGCCTTAGACTTTTTATCCTTTTAAACTTTGAAATGCCCCAATTCCCTTCCCTATTAGGATTAGTAGTCTCAATGCCTCCGAGACTGATAGGATCGGGACGGGTAATAGCATGCAATAAGCAACGACACTATTCCGCGCTTTAATACCTTAAACGGGGTGGGAAAGGGTAGACATGGAGATGATGATCACGTGATAACACCACGCGTATAATTGGTTACCGGGTGTTGCGTGGATGATCCATGTTATTTATAAACCTAGGATCCTCCTCCCTCCATATGTGCTTAAGTCAGTTTTTCAGTTCTTTAAACTTTGTATTTCTCTTTAATTTAAACCTCTTTGGAATTTCCATCACTGTTTTCTTTTTTAAACTTTCGTCCATTTTACTTCTTTGTCTGATTATTTGCATTCGTTACTTGACCCTCATTTTTCTGCATTTATACATTCTTTTAAATGAACATGAAACCATCTATTCCCTAACTTCAGCATGCTTATTTAACCTTTATACAATCCTACTTGTAATCGTTATGTGAAGTTGTCTTGTATGTTTATTTGCTTTAAAGTCACAAATTGTAGCATGGCCGGGAACCACACTAGTGGATCTTGGGGGGTGCCTAACACCTTCCCCCTAGGATAATTTCAAGCCCTTACCCGTTCTCTGGTTCTTTTCTTTTTTTTTACTCCTTGGTGTCCTAATTCACTCAATCATTAGGTGGCGACTCTTCTAAATCTCAAAACCCAAATTCCCAAAAGGAATAGAGTTGTCCGCCCAAATATCGTAAACCCGATTTCGCCTTTAGAAAAAGGGGGCATCGACACTTGTTAGTGAACCTATGTTCCATGACCCGATTCTCAACCTATAGGCTCTCTTTCCCCCTCTACCTCGCCCACCTCCCGTCCCACCCCTGGCCCCCGCCCCACCCCTCGACCCACGCCCTGCCCCACCCGAGGACATGCCCTTATTCTATCATCCCAGACTACAGCCACTACACCTACGACAAGATAAAGAGGACTTGCTAGCACACAACGATCAACGACCCAAACTAGAAGGAAACAAGTAACTACTAGCACACTAGTTGAATGATTGAACTAGTGCGAACTAAAGTGACATCAATTTAGCTAACACCAAAAGGAAACAGTAACCTGGGAGGTACCAACTCCCGAGAATAGAACCTGTGATTGATTTGATGTACTCGATGTTGTTGCACAGTCACGTCCGGCTTCCCACCGCCCTTTGTTGACACTCGCCCAGGCTGCTCTCCTTTGCTTGTGCGCTTGCACCCAACTTGTCTCCAAAAACTCTGAGAATTTCCCTGAAAAATACAGAAAATACCACGTACCAAAAAGGGGTTGTCACCGCTACCATTGGTGTAGCCCCGACAGTAGCAAGGGGAATGGGGGGGGGGGGGC